GAATGCCGACCTTTTGCATAAATGGAGGAGACTGCTGAAAATCGCTGAGGGACGAGATTTCCCAGATCCAGAATGAAAATTTAGCAATAAGAAAAGGAGTCCGAGTAAACAAACGAAAGGCAGAGAGGAGAGACAGAAGTAAAGACACAGGGAGAAAATTAGAATAGAAATCGTCAGCAGCGGATGTCTTGTGGTTACTCAAGAGGTCTCAGAGATAGGACTTTACTTCTCTTTCCCAACAGGCTACAAATTAAAGCTTATCCTTTCTTGCAGCCAGTACTCAGACAGGAGCCCAGTATTGCAAGGAGCGGATGGATGTGCTGGGCCAGGTCCTTCTAGAGCAGGGGTCGGCAGACCTTCTCTATAAAGGTCCAGATAAGGAATACACTATTTTCGGTTTGACGGGTTGTATGGTTTCTGTTGCAGCTACTCAACTAAGCCTTTGTCGCCTGAAAGCAGACATACGTAGACAACACATACCCAATAGGCTTGTCTCCACGCCATTAAAATTTTATTTAACAGGGACCCAACCGGACTTGGCACTTGGGCCTGAGTTTGCTGACCGCTGTTCTAGTGACTGGGCAAAAAAGTATGCGTCCTCCATTTACATCAGCTCATAGCTTTCCCTGAAAGCAACCTGAGGCCAGAGATAAAGAAGCTAAATTTATCTACTCGAAAATGATTTGTTCCACAGAATGCCCTTACCCAAAGCACAGCTAGTGTTTATATAACCCAAATCCAATCTCATTGCTGCCAGGACATGGTGCCGGAGCGTCATTTCCCCAATCTTTCATGATCCATGTTGGAAAGAAACCATTTGGGTGTCGGGGGAAGGGGACAAAAGGCTGGGAGAAGCACCTAGAGAGAGCTAGAGCTGCAGAAAGAGGAGGAGACGGTGCACTTAACCTGGCTCTGCCCTGGGAGGGAGGAGGACCGGTGTGTCAGGCTCTGCCATGGCAACCGAACATAAACCGTGTTCGGTTTGTGTTCAAGCCACGAACATAAGCAGTGGATGCCCTCACTGCTTATGCCTTGAGGACGTGTCTCAAGCCACGCAGCACGTGGACTGTTTTCCTTACATCACTCAAAAGCTGAAGCAATAACATTCTCTCGCGTTGCTGGGTCAGCTGTTCATTTGTTCGCCGGCTCCTGGGCTGGATGGGTGAAAGGCATCACTTTTTTTATGTTTTCCTCAGTGTAACTGTTTTACGTGTTCGCTCCTGACATCCCATGTGTTGCTTCTATTGTAAATATTTGTCATTTGTATTTATTATCTCAGTGTTTTCCCCCAAGGCATAAAATTGCTTACTATGTTGATGTGAACCGCCTCACCGATCTCTGTTGTATATTTTTCACGCCACTGTTTTGTTTCTTCTCAAAAGTCAGGTAGAAATCCTTGCATTCTGGTTCCTAATGTTTTGAAGCCTACAATAGTATTTATTGCTGAGATTCTTTATCTCAAAACTGAGGAAAATCCACATTCCTGTAAGCATGGACAGAGGCATTTGTACAATCTAAAATGTAAGCAAAGTCATCCTTAAAAATAGGCCCTGAACTTGGGGCTTCATACTTCATACAAATTTGCTCTTGAACCTTCCTTTGAGGAAGGATGTGGATTCCAAATAAAGATATGATGTTTATTTTGAGCCTTGCATCTTAACAAGATGATCCAAACACCTCTCCTTTGTATCAATAAATAGTCCTGTTATTCTGAAGTGAGAGGCCTGAGTAGAGTGAAATGCTAACGCTCAGAACTAAAATAGAAAACGCCAGCCCAGAGCTATAGTCGTACTTTGACACACACACACACACACACACACACACACACACACACACACACACACACGGAGTGAAATTTCAACTCGAACCAAGGAAAAGTCTTCGTTAGAACAACATGGGGAAACAATGCTTCCAGGGCCCATTTCCTAAGGAAGAACAACCCTCATCCGATCTCAGCATTGGTACCACGTGAGCTTGCTAAGTCATAATATCTGTTTCTGTTATGGATTTAGGCAGCAGGACCTGTACATTGTCACATGGCGTTATCTTTCTCCAAGCATTAATAAAGGTTTTAAAAATTGACTTCCCCTTGAGTAGCGTTATTGTCTGAGAGGGCTTTGGATGGGCCGAGGGAGATGGCTGTGAGCAAGTGGGGTTTGAGTCCATATTAAATGCTGGATGATCAGATAACTACGAAAGAGAAACAGACTCACAGACATAGAGAACAGACTTGTGTTTGCCAAGCGAGAGGGTGTTGGGGGAGGGAAGGATTGGGAGTTTGAGATTAGCAGATGCAAACTATTATATATAGAATGGATAAAAAACAAGGTCCTGGGACTTCCGCGGTGGCCTAGGGGTTAGGATTCCGGGCTTTCACTGTGGTGGCCCAGGTTCAGGGCAAGATCCTGCAAGCTGCGTGTTGCAGCCAAAAAAAAAAAAAGACAACAACAAGGTCCTACTGTGTAGCACAAGGATCTATATGCAGTACCCTGTGATAAACCATAATAGAAAAGAATATGAAAAAAGAATGTATATTATATGTATAATTGAGTCACTTTGCTGCACAGCAGAAATTAACACCACATTGTAAATCAACTCTAGTTCAATAAAGATTTTTTTTAAATGCTGGATGTTCAGTTTACAGGGAGGGGAGCCCAGGGAAGAAGACCGCCCTGGGCTTCTCCTCCATCACAGGGACTCTGTTCAAAACCCTGCCTGGGGCTTCCCTGGTGGCGCAGTGGTTGGGAGTCCGCCTGCCGATGCAGGGGACGCGGGTTCGTGCCCCGGTCCGGGAAGATCCCACGTGCCGCGGAGCGGCTGGGCCCCGTGAGCCGTGGCCGCTGAGCCTGCGCGTCCGGAGCCTGTGCTCCGCGACGGGAGAGGCCACGACAGTGAGAGGCCCGCGTACCGCAAAAAAAAAAAAACCCTGCCTGGATCACCCAGCCAAAGAGGAGGATGAGCTTCCTGTGACCGGCCCAGGGCCATCAGGGTGGTCCTCACATCTCCCTCTGGAGTCCACAGACCTTGGAGCTGGCCACCCCTTCTTTCAGACTGAGCCTGCAGTGGACGCCACCGGAATAAAAGCTCAGTGGTTCTGCACAGGCAGGGAAGCCTGCTCCCCAGCTCTTCCTCAACACAACAGAGCTGGAGTCCCTGATTTACTCCACCGTTGGCATACCTACCACGTGCCCAGGACCACACTAGGCACGTTGCATACGTAATCTCATCCCCAGTATGTCCCACAAGTAGCAGGTCTTATCCCCATTCTACAGGTGAAGAAACCAAGGTATAGAAAAGTAAAGCAACTTCTCCCAAACCATGTGGCTAGTGAGGGGGGCGGGGTCTGAACTCAAACCCAGATGTGTGACTCTAAGCCCACATGCTTTCCCCCACTTCAGGCCTAGATTCTCCACATTTGATTTCTTTTAAAATTTAAACCAGTCAGTATTATTCCTATTTTACACAGGGCTTAGAGAAAGAATAAATTATACTCTTAGCTTTATAGCACCAGGCCTCTGAGGAGTTATGCTTTAGGACGGAAAGGAAAATTGATGCTCTCACCTTTCCTCTCTGCAAAGACTCAGATTTTGGTTCAGGTTAAAGGAAGAACAGGAAAATCACGGCATCTCATCGCTTTTCTGTGCATGTGGGTGATATTTTTTTTTAAGGTGCTTCTCAAGTGTCCCTGAGGAAATCATTTGGGGAGTGGCTGGCTTGTGTCACCATGTAGATTGAGTTGTCTCCACTAAACCCACCCGATCGCCAGCCCTGCCTGAGACGTCAGGCTTCCCTGAAATCTTCACCACTGTCATCACCCTCATCATGATAGCTGCAGTTTCTTGTGGATCTGTTATGTGCCC